GTTCCTCTTTCTATGCCACTGGCTAACTTTATTTACAAGCCTGTCGTAACTGGGCCACACGGCGCCGGAGGTACGGAATACGGGCGCCGAATTTTCGGTTGAAAGTGACGAACGTTTAGCTGTTTGGCCTGTTGCAGATCCCACCATTATGTTACGGTACAAATAACACGTACAACTATTTAGCTTATAATAAAATCATGCGATTGTCGCATAGTTTGTATAAATTTAGTAGTGATGCTCCATGATGCCGTGATTTGGCTCATTTACATGGAACGACTCAACTGATCATAATTGTAAGTCCCTCGACGCCTTACCGGAACCCACTGGTTGCGTATGATGATGGAACGAGATCCGGCCATTTTGGGACGAACTCATCGCTAATCTTTCCCGTCATCACTAACAGCAGAATGCTCGTCGAACTGTTATCATCAAAATGATCGTGTCTTTTCTTTTGTCCACCGACAATGGGCGGACACGCCTCTTCGGTGATGCGTGTATATATAGATATGCCAGAGTAGAGATCGGTACCTGACGTATGCTGTATCTATATCTACCAAGCAGTTGATGTCACCGGAATGTCTCACCAAAGGCAATAATAACAGCAGTTCTCCATGCAGCATGTCGACGTTCTTGAATGTTCGACGCTGATTTCTGTTTGCTGAAAATTTCTACATCTACTAGGTATAGCTAATCTAGTATGTGCCTACGACCGGATGAAAGTGGGGAGTGGGCGGTTGACGCTTTTGAGCGTACCAGATACACATGCAGATAGAAGGATCAATGGACAGAAGGATGGTCGAACTAACACATTCAAGCCTTTGGTAGACTCAAAATTTATGCTATGATGTCCGTGACAGCGTTAGGGCGACGAGTCGCTATTGATCGTCTACGGGTGGTGGCTGGACGAGGAGATATTCATTTTTGCGCCGTGGAGCTCTTATGCTCGAGTGGGAGTTACCTCTACTGACCCATTGTGTCGTATAGCATGTAATGAACCTCGCAAGCCTGCCTGCACTCGTTGTGCTATGTAGATATACCTAAAACAACGATGATCACGGAACAATTCAACAAAATGCTAGCTTTCCAGATATTTTATATATTGAACGTCACAATTTTGACGTAAATAACAAATAACGTACGTTCTACTGAGGAAGGTAGTACACAAATCAGATTATATACAGATAAAGCTAGATATATGAATATATTAATTTTTCTATGTGATTTTCTAGTGCTGAACGAGTATCCGTTCTCTTCGAAAGAACATGTTTTTACTTTAGGTGGTCGACGAACTTTGCATACCTTAAAGTTATGTCATCAGTTAGGAGAAAATATACACTCTCCAAACTTCAGAATATCGAAACAGGTACTTTTTTGCTAAATATATTAAAGTGTTTCTATTGCGATGAGTGATGAACTTGAGCCGACACTTCCTAAGGAGCCGCCGCATTATAGTGGATAACTAAATATCGCTACAACATCTCGTTATTATACGAGCAGTGCAATGAGACACGGTAGCGTTCTTTCGTATGTATCACAAACTTACGAAATTCCCATCTCGTTTATGACTTGATCTGCGTTTTCGGACCGTTAATTCTGCTAATTCTATGTGTTCCCTATGTGTTCCTATTTGTCTGTCTGAAACTTCTCCGCCTCCAACATACTCCGGAGCACCTTTCAGACCCCGAAACAAACAAATCGACGCCAGCACAGGTACGGCAGAGCAGACCATGACTGAGAATAAAACAACGGAGATATATATGTATGCATGTGTATCAGAAAAAGAAAAGCTGGAGAATCACGCCAGCTTCTCTTTGCCGCTGCTGGTTTCCGGCCAGGCTGTCTGTCTATCCTCCAGCTATGTCCTATTACCTTGGTCTCTGCCTAAGGCTTTTCAAATGCGAAGGTACAAGGAGAGCTGAAAGAAACGGGAGCAGGATGCATAGAAAGACGCCTCGAGTTAGACACTCTAGCCTACGAATCAGCAGCCAGCCAGGACCAGCAGCAGCAGCAGTACTATATGCTGGCGATTAGCGCTATCCAGGTTATACCCGTAATTGACACACATGTTTGGGTGAGCGATTTGGATATGGCGGATGCGGCGGAAGCTAGGCGGCCGCGAGCTGAAACTGAGCCAGCCGATCGTAGGCCTTTTCAGAGCAATGAAAGGATTGACGATGTAGACAAAAAAAAAGATGAAAGAGAGAGGTAAATTCTGATCCGGCCACAGGAAAAAAGGAACGGCGCTCCTAGAATTTGGCCAGACGTCGGTCTAATCTACGAAGGCCGTAAGCAATGAACTTGGGCATCTGCAATGTTAGGATCTATCTCTAAAAGGAATTGGGGATTCGCTATATAGGAAGCGGCGGCTGAAGGAGTACACGCTTCATCGCCATGGTATAAAATTGCTAAATATTCGTAATAGGACTTCTGTAGATGCTAGTCACGGGTTTGAATTTCATATCAGCAAACTGACCAGATTGAGTAGGTCAAGGCCAAAAAAAAAACTAACAAGTGATGAAGATCAGATACGTAAACAGTTAACAAAAATTGCACCAGTCAGTGAAGATGATTCACAGCTGACTTAGCTGAAACGTGACTAACTTTTCGAATGGTAGCGAAGATGGCGCGGAACGTTGGCGAAGCATTCGACTCGAAGACCTTGTCATTATACTATAATTTCATTATAATCTTCAGATAAAATGCCTGAAAAATTAATTACATGCTATGGATTCAATGTGCTTCGGCTAAATGCTTTCAAAATACAATCGATTAAATGTACCCACGCGTCTGTCTTCAATTTAATTTTACCTTACGCTAGTCGCGAACTCAGCTTGCCGCCATCAGCTTGTACTTCAATCATTCGGAAGCAAGTTTATGCGACTGAGTCCTAATGGAAGGGAAATTTTGGACACCCCAGGAAAATTCCTGAAGTTGAATTGGATGATGGTGATGATGATGATGATGATGATGATGATACTTATTATACTTTTTATCGTATCGATTCCGTTTATTAGTTTGAATCACTTTGACATTCATATAATATTTAGTAGATAAATATCTAAGCGTCCTCATACGTTACGCGGACTTCCGAACTGCATAATTAATACAGAACGACTTCATCTCTCTCTCGGAAATCAACTAGCTATAGTACAAGCGCACAATAGCTTACCCTACCGTCTACGACGATACAGCGCTTCAAGCTACCTGATAATGGTGTGTAGCCTTTATTCGCACACAGTTTCGCTAGCGCCCTTTGTCTACTGGAGCCTCCACCAGTTGCACGTCATCATGCAGCTCTAAGCAGAAGCTATTGAGATGAAGAACCGCAACGAGCTTCTGTTTTTGCCGTCATTGAGATCAATCTTACGCTCACGTGCTCGCAAAATATCTTCCTTTTCTCTGACGTATACCATGTCTGTGTCATTGGCGGTCTTCTTTACTCTGGTCCATTAACTCTAGCCACCGCCAGTCACCCATATTATCTTTTTATCGGTCTCTATTCCTCGCTGGCTTTCCTATAGATCTTGCTGCCTCTGTATACGCCATCTACTGCAGTTTCGTCCTAAATGCGTGGGCCTGCTCTATTGATGCCAGTGATTGTAGTATCATGACGGCCGTCGTCGTTGTACTGAAATTCGTCGACCTCTTATCAAAAGTGTTGGTCCCGATGGCGATAAGATATTGAAGGAGTGCGACGGCTATCTCTTCTGAACTCATCATCAACATCATCGTCATAATCTCGGACGGGGGTGGAGGCAGGAATCATCGAGAGACGTAAAATCAAGAGGAGGAGAAGGAGGAGGAGGAGGAGGAGGACGACGACGAAGCGGATGGTTGCGGCGATTCATCTGGCTGGGTTGCAGCCAAAGTTAAGGCAGAAGCAGCTATCACAGCGGCGGCGACGGCGGCGGCGGCGGCGGCGGCGGCGGCGGCGGCCGCGGCCGCAGTAGCAACGGCAGCAGCAACAGCTATCGAACAGAGAAGGTCTCTAAGCATCGTCAATCGTTTAGCGTCTTAGAGCTGGGTCGACGAGAATCGATCCAAAACTACCATCACCTCCCCCCACGATCCGCCAAGCAGCCGCAAATATTCGACTATCACAAGCGTATGCAGCCTGTGGCTAGATCTGCCGTGTCTCTGTAGATGAGCTGCGAGACTGAGATCATCTCTCTACCTCCCTGCCTGCCTCCCTCCCTCCCTCCCTCGGATTTTTTCTCCCTCTCGATCAATTCATTCTGCTATTGAGCGGCGGCTCCAGCGTCGAAGTGGAGTTCGCTTCGATCACCGCTACCGACCGCCTAATGTTTTTCTATTTCTTTTCCTGCTTTTTCTTCTGCACCTTCTGTTTCTCCTTATGCCGCCGCTACTACTGCTGCTGCTGCTTTTTCGTTTTCTCCTGGATCGTCGCCTTCTCCTCCGTTTTCGTCGTCGTCTGACAACGAAAGCAGCGTTGACTTTCGCAAAGCCACAGCGCGAACGTAGGTGCGGCATTTCCTACTTGTGCTTCATCGTTTCGATCGTCATAGTTCGTCCTCTCTTCTTCGGGCCGCATTGATACCACATCGCCGCATTGGGTTCGCTCGCGAACTGCGCCAGACGCAAGCAGGCGGCCGGCCGGCCGGCCGGCCGGCCGGCCAGCCAGCCAGCTAGCGAGCAACGCCGTTGGCTGCGCCATTGCTCATGAACGCTGGAGATCAGTTGCTGCTGCTGCTGCTGCTGCTGCTGATACTGATGATGCTGGTGTTGTTGTTGTTGGGGATGACGACGACGACGACGACGACGACGATGATGATGATGATGATGGCGCCGCTGATTCCCGCCCACCGGCACCAGCAGATCCAACGTTGGTGCTGGAGTTTGCGGCGCTAGCCGCCGCTGTTAAATCCACCAGATTGCTGCTGATGCTGCTGCTCCTCTCCACAAAGGAGCGGCACTCTGTGCTGCGGCTGCGGCCCTCTCCCAATTTAACAGAAGTTGTGCCTGCTATGGGAGCCCCGTAGTCGTGCGGTATGACGCTTCGTCTTCATTCACGTGTTGCTATGTGACGGAATGGCCCGTACCGTTCCGAGGATGCGATTATGAAGTCACCTTCATCGTGGAGCTAGCTAGCTGGTAGAGTCGAGAGGAAGAGTTCGCGCTAAGGGTCGCGCTTCAACAACGTAACACATAACGTATCGTGTACTCTGGAGAAATAGTGTTGTTCGACTGTGTGGTAGCGTACGTCTCCGTACACTATCGAAGTCCAGCGTCCGCTAATTACTTCTGTCCTAGTAGCTATCACCGTGTCGAAGCTGATCTATTTGATGTGATCCTCGGCTTTTTTTTTTTTTTTCGGAAAGACGAACGCCGAGTGAGTGCGTATGGTGCAGTGCGAGAGGAAGAAACGGAATAATAATAACGACTGTTGGTCACAAGCGATGTACCAAATAGCCTATTTCATTTTCTAGCCATCGGTCGAATTAGATTTAGATACTGCTCAATAATTGTCTACTTGGGGAATAACTTTTCGCAAAAACTCCTTCCAGCGAACCGCGGGCTCGTTGACGACGACGACGACTATAGGCTGACATTGTATGTTCAGAGTGCAAATGTGATTCATGAAGTGACTGACGAAAAGACGGACAAATAGACAGACATTTTCATTGGAAAAAGATAGTGTGTATAATGCAGAAAAATCGTCAGCTTTCAAAAACGCACGCGGATACATCACTCGTAACGACCTCGACCAGCGCAGTAGCTATGGTGCGATTTACCGAAGCTGCTTGGCTTCTATTGGCAACGTTGACAACAGGTGAGCTTACTTTGGCATACCTTTTTCTAATAGGTAATATTCTAGCATCAAAGCACTTGAGTATAGGAAGTTATAGACCGGTAAATTTTTACTGCTGTCTTTGTCGGATGTACGTGTAACGGCAAAACACAATTACGTACTTCTAGAAAGCCAGGCTCATCAATGAAGAAGCTGTCTAGTACTCATTACGATGGTGCCAATTGGACACTATAAATCACACTATTTACAAACGTCACATATCCACAGAGGCTTCTGGATAAGCGAATACATGACGAAAACTTTATACAAAATCAAATTGAGCGCTGAAATTTCCATTCGTTCTGGGTGCTCTCCCCCACATCGAATTGATCGTCGCCCCTGTCCGATCAAAAGTTTAGATTTGTCTGCCAGGTCACGTTAGTACTGCCTAATAAGCAGGTCATATACGAATATTGCAAAGTCAGTACGACCCGTGTCTTAATAGGCTTGATGAGGCAGGACGCGTTATTGAGAAGGTGCAGGGGACGAATGTGTACAATTCTCGTATAAAAGCCGATTCCACCCCACTGGGTGTTGATTTGTTAAAAGCGCGGAATCTATTCGGTAATAAGTGAGAGGCACACGTTACTCTTGCGGCTATCTTCATTTTAAACAACACAGAAAGTGTTTTTTTCGAGACTCCTGTAGATTCTTTAATACGTTTGCTGCCACTAGTACTTGCCGCAAGCAGAGCATTGGCTGATAAAGCGGAAAATGATTTCGATATGGGTGAACGTATCGGGAGATTTCAATTCTTGCTGGTTGCTGCAGGCCTCTGCTTGGGCTTGTCCTCCCGCGCCTGTTTCCCTCCCGAAACTTCTCCAATTTTGTCTTTTCCCTATTGACTTTGAGGGAACACATGTTGACAAGGTTGCCGGCATCTGCCGACGATAAATTCTGGTCATACTGAATAGAACATTATCATCGACGTGTATCATGTTCATTTCCTTAGGACATATCACCTATTGATCACCCAGTTATTTACTAGCAATTAATACAAGCAGAACTTCGTCTTCAAACTACTGTGTCTGGACTAGGCGTATCTGCGCCCTACCAATCAATCAGGCGTTGTTTTTTTTCTTCTTCTTTAAAAGTGATAGGACGGGGTTGGTTGCCTATGTCTATCGCTATTCTTACGCTTTCTCTCCCTTATTTTCTGCGTCGGACACTGATGGAATGACCGTCCGCCTATTAAGGCCCGCGGGTTTCATCTGTTTCACCACGGTTCATTACACTCCTACAGTTTGATTCGGCCGTCGCAGCATTTGCGGTGAGTCGCTCACCGCTGGCCTGTACAACTTGTGGACCTGAGACAGCTTTCGCGGAGAGCCGTCTCTAACACCACGGTGCCAGCAGCCCGACCCACTTAAATCTGTGTTGTTTTTTATTTCCGCTGCTTTGGTACCCGTTGTTACTGGTACGGTTGTGTTCATCACTGCTACTTCCATTAGTATCATCATGTACAGACAATTTCGATAGTTGGATGGAAACGATCGTTATACAGTTTCGTTGTACGAATCGAAGCGTCTCCTACTTCGTACGGTTATTTCTGTCATCCTCGTCTGCGTATGATCGATCGACGCTATAACCACCTAAACCACAGTGACTAACCAGATATACAGTTTGCTTTTGACCGGCGTACCTTGATTACGACTAACTGTTGCTACTGCTGTCGCTCGTGATGGTGATGATCGCGTCACCAGAGCCTGTTGCCATAGCCCCGTGTCCTCGTAAGGACAAGTGTGAGCAGGATACGAGGAACAGTCTATGGGAGATGGAGCGGTAAATAGTCAACGACGTGACGAATAAGGTGAATCTTGGGGCGGGTGGTATGTACAGCGTTCTATCTTTGATGGCTGCGTAACGTTGAAATATAGCACGATATGGTGTTGCCGGCAGTAACAAGCACGATTTGATGAAGATGAATTCGGGATAGTACTAAATGCTACTCTTGTCGCGGCCGAGATGCCCCTTGAAAGCTGTGTCATTATAGAGTGTCTTCTTCGGGCGTTATCTAGAAGGTCTAGTGTTTTGGTCTTCTTATAAAGCGTTTCCTCATTTCCATGCAGCAACAGTTCGAAAGTTGTTCATTCTATACATTACACGGACCGCGGAACCTCCGATCGACGAAACAGTAATACCGCCTCACTGCCATCAACGACAATAACAACAACAGCCAAAGCAGCGGGTCAATAAAATTTACAGCGGGTAACAACAGGTCGTGCTTCTTCAGTGTCAGTAGCAGGTTTAAACTTAAGAAGATATCACCTTGTGGCCGAATATCAGGTGATAGCGAAGCGTAGGACATAAAGGCGAACATCAAGAACGTCAAAGACGAGGTAGCAGCACAAACACCGACAAAACGGCCAAAGTAGGAACAAAGAGCGCAACCGGAATATACGGCCAACCTTTAACTAAAAGGAAATGGTCCTACTACCTACTAAAAAATTCAGTTCTACTGCCTTCGAGCACTGCTTTAGAGGGCTGGCCCCTTCCAGCACGAAACGAAGTGTATCTAAGGCTAACTTTGAACTTAGATCACATTAAGGAGCCAGACACGATACCAGTATGAAATAAGAAAGATGCCTAACCTTTACCGAACGTTAGGACAAAATTTGCACAACCGTCCATTATTTCTATTTGGCCTCTAAAATTTAAGACAGAATGTAAATTATAGTCGCGATTATTAACTACCCGTTAATTTGAAGTAACTTTCTGAAAATCCAACAAGGATATCTGCTCGTTACGTTAATTAAACAGAATATTAGTTCAAATCTCTTATTTCCGGATTTGCGTATACCAGGGAACATCAACGCGATATTTATACTTGTTATGGTCGTAATTCGGAAGAAATGCACGCTTTCGGTCCGGTAACCAACGATGTTTCCGTCTTTTCCCCTTTGTATTTATAATTTGGCTAATGTGTACATATAAATAGTCTGATAAGTATCTGTGTCGAGACCATGAAATATCCAGTATGTGGAAGATCTGTTTTTCCCAGCAGTCTTCCTTTGGTTTCGATTACCATAATTAGTTATTGTTATTTCTGCATCTGTTGTTGCACCTTTAATGCTATGTACGTACTGTCCACCCTTGTTATCGCTATTATTGTTGGCTCGTAAATGATGTCCAAATGTCGGTTCTGCAATAGATTGAACGTGTGAGACCGATGAGGTCACAATCGTGACACGGAAAAAAATACGTAATCGTTGCTCAGCCGTACCATGTCTTGTCTTACGTCCTTTGTACATATCGCCGCAGCAGTCTGCCCGCCCCGATTGCCTGCGCAAAGGTATTCCCTCGCACTGAGATGCCTTATCCGTCAGTCTTCTTTCCTTAACGTTCGGAATAAGTCGTCGCCAAGCGAGTGGCAATGGAGCTCATAGGGACCCGTGGCTTGAGAACGGTCAAATGGAAGTCCGTCCGTTCACAACGTGCACGGCTGGACATCGTACCGATCCACACACATATCTCTCTGTATACTACTCTAGATACACAAGCAGATATATACAAGGCCGAGGAGATTCTTCCTTATCTCGCAACAGTCACTTGTAGCGCGAATCGAGCGCTCATTGAGAGAACGGTAATAGACAACGATATCGAGCACCACCCGTTACTATTAATGTCCTTTTCTTTGTGCGGTTTGATCCGTGTATGAGCATGTGTAGACAGGAAAGCAGCCCCCCTGCCATCTTAAAGGCGATAGTGGTTAAGTACTAGCAGCAGCAGAGGTAAAACGGGGATATCAGGGCGATGGATGGTTTTGGATCGTTTCGACAAATTCGGCTCAGGTTGACTTTCGGTCCATCCACGTTACTTGTCCATATCGGCTGTGGGGCGTCCGTCGGTGGCGTTATCCCTTTGATACTTCTGATGTACCTAATATCTTTCTACCATGCTTACAACCCTCTTCCGTTTTTTCTGTTGTCTGGCAAGTACAGCGTCCAGTGATGTCCTCTTGAAATCAACCCATAAGAATAGGTCCCTTCCATGCGCAACACAGCGATCAAGCAATACCCACACATTCGCTCAACATGTCGAAACAACTTGATGAAACAATCGTTATCTCGGAACAGTAGCAGAAACTAACAAAAATTTGTTCTATCGCTTTTTCTGTGCTCAGCAATACTTATTCTATCTAGGCGAGATCATCATTGCAGTTTCGCAACAACTGCCCGTCTCTCTATGTTAACACGTCACCAACACTCCGGCGTCACAGCAGACAACGCGTTCGATGTGGACGTGCTTTGTCTTGCTTTTCCCCTATCCGTCATGCAATAGTCCCTCATCCGTGCATGTTGCTAAGGGTGAACCCAACAGTAGCATAGCTCGCCTAAGATTGCACAGTATAGTTCATACACATATTAACATTGTGCTACTATGAAACGGGTACGACCACGATGATAGCGACGTGTCAGACGAGTGAAAAAGGCGGTTCGCAAGGCACACGTTGGTATTGTTCTGTGCTGGTCAGATCGCACGGGTTTCAGAACTCACTTAGCGATGCCGATAATGTACGCCGGTGATTAGATGCTTTGCCACTTTCTAATTACTAGCCATCATCGCTGACGTTTTTATTCATGTTCTGATGATCTGGCTGTGGTAATCATCGGAACGGCGTCAGACATCGAGGCATCTGCGAACACAAAAGGGGCGTAAAATAATTTACGCGCAATTCAATGATGTGCCCCCGTCGATCAAAGAAAACGGTTCCGAGGCCCAAAGATACTGTAGTAATAAGTATTAATGCCGGCATCGATAAAATTAAAGTGCATACGACACGGAATAGCTGGCCCGAAAACAGCTGATACTCGTTACTATTGATAGACTTAGAAATTGATTTGTTGCGTGATTTCTAGCGTTTCTCATCTCCTGAGGACGGCGCTGTTTTGATTTTTCATTTCTATCTGCTTCTAATGCTTTGATAACGTCGCGGCGTTAGCCCAGTGTACGGATCGCCGTTGCCTGCTGCTGCTGCTGCT